TTTATATTTTTTTCCTCCTTATGGGTATGTTTGGTTTTATTTTATTGAAGCGAAGTGAAAAATGTCGATACAAATAAATTAATTAATATACGTATTAATAGAAAAAAATAATAATAAATCATAAACTACTAAACCTTTTACTCAGCAAAAGCTCGAAGTGTTAATGAACAGCAGTTTGTTGATAGGAATTCGAGAAGTAGACTTCGTATGTAAAATATATATCTATATTTATTGGCTTAATTGATGGATTTCTACAATTTCGTTTTTTGTAGAATTTCATACAAATATATATCGTATATATGTACATAGATTAACTATACGACAATGTAACGTTTTATCAAAGCTTAAAGCTCTCCAGAATTTTATGATCAATACCAAAAGAATATAAAAGATAATTGCTCATCATCACTGACCAAAGAAGGTAAAATTATATTTTCTAAAAATGAATATCAGAATTAACTAATACCGAAACGAATTCTTCTATGCTCATGGAATATAATCGATCTTTCAACTTCCTTAAAGAGCTTATAGATAGTTCATAGAAATAGTTTGGAAACGTTGTTTGCTCATAAAAGATGATTATATATACATAATTAAGAATACTTAATAAATTTCTTTAAGAAAAAGTTATATATTTTTCGAGTTGCACGCGATCTTCGACGGCGCTAAAGAAAGTTCGTCCATTGCTACAGTGATGCCGAACTTTTCGGTTAATGAAATATAAAAAAAATCACTAGAAGATATTGTCCATACAATAATCTAGGGTTGAAAATATATCAAAAAATTGACAAAAGGACATTTTTAAAAAAATATAATTTTGTCCACAATTTTGGTCATTTTTAAATTCAGTTTTTGACCTGCTCAAAAAACTGGTAGGTCATTGGACGGAGAACTACATATGTGCATATACGCAGAATATGCGAAAAAAAAATTGATAGTTATCGGATCATTACTCTTCACTCAAGGAAATTCGAAAAATGCTGTGTTTTCTAGAACTACAGACTTACATTTGATATTCGCTAGTAAAATAAAAAAAAGTAATTAAAGCCAAGCTACCTATATATAAGCATATATGTACATATATATGGATATTTATTTTTTGCTGTTCGTTTTCTGATAAACAAATTGATAAAAGATAGCTATATATTATTTTTATCAAAAGAATTTTATTTTATGTAATGGCATTATTATGATTATTAAAAGTCTAAAAATCGATATCTTTTGCACGCACCCTAAATACCCAATACGCAGTCCATTAGTTTGAGAATACGTAATATAAGAAGCATAACTACCTTGTAGAACTTGAAAATAATTTTTTTTTGTTTCACCCTCGAAATATGAGCTAAAACCACTACTACTGCATTTAAACACTAATAACAGCAATCGTTTCCAGCATTTTTATCGGACCAATTTCGACTGTAAACTCGGCAGCATTCTAAAAACTTATTTGGGGAAAGTTGTCTGCAGTTGAAACAACAAAAATATTAATATAAAAATTAATAGTCCTAGTTGGCCTAGGTGGTTAATACTTTACTGGGGAATTTATATAACTTCAACTACATTACCATAAAATCTCTATAATACGAACAGCAAGACTATATATATTTTATTTTGTGTAATTTGTTATATTTTTAGGGCAATTCGAGCGAAATAGAAAACATTGCGCTCAATATTTTTTAACCCTTCATTTTGCCACGAAATTTTTAACACCCAGCAGAAAACGTCGGAAACCCTATAAAATATATACATACATGTATAAATGATCAGCTTGGTGAGCAGAGTCCATATACCCGCTTCTGTCTGTATATACGCGAAATAATCCCTCAGTTTTTGAGATATCGATGATCAAATTTTGCACACGTCCTTCTCTCCCCATGAAGCTGCTCATTTGTGGGAACCTTTGATATCAGACTACTATGGCATATAGCTGTCATGCAAACTGATCGATCATAATCAAGATAAATATGTTTTTACCCCTTTTTATGTACCTGTAGAGGGTATTGCAGTTACAGCCAAAATTAACCTTTTTCTTGTTGTTAATCAGTTCAGCAAATATACAAATTCAACAACAAAAAAAATCGTATTAATAACTATCAAGCTCGTAAAAATTCAGATTTTGAATATAGACAATATATATAGGTATATATATATATACTTTTTTGTAAAAACTTGTATTGACAGTATAAAACAAAAATACAATAAAGAAAGCTATGGCGGCGATGGCCTGTTCGGCTGTTTTTAATATTTTATATTCGATAATTTATATGAAAATGTGTTTTTTACTATAATTATTATAAAAGATATTTTATTGTTAAAAAGCAAATGCGTGCAAAATAAATTAACAGTGAAAATCAGCGCGATATTTACAATTTCATTTATTAAATGATTAGTTTTTAGGTTAGAAAAGATTTTTATATATTTTCTGGACGGAAAATTCGAAATTCAAATAAAATTATATCAATTTTATATATAAATATGTATGTAACTATGTATTTTCACTCTACCACATCTTATAGAAGTGTGTTTTTTCTATGATAGCCAGCTTATTGATATATTATAGTAGTTAGTACTGCTAGAATTCTGTAGTGTTGAAACTTATATTTTTTTTTATTCACTCTACTTCCTATTCCCAACTTCTTTCAAGCTGCTACATATTCCTTACCTTCTTGTTTTTTTTTATTGTATTGTAAGCCGCTCAAACTCCCAGCGAGTAAGTTTGTGCTTAATGATTTGACGATGCTTTTGTTTTCATTTCCTTATTACTTTTGTTGTTATTGCAATTTTGTTCGTCTGATTTTAAGTCATACCAAAATAAAAATAACAACAACTGCTTAAAGTCACAGCAATAATTTTATACATATTTACAATTTAACAATACATACAAATAAATATGCATACTTTATGTAAATGTATATGTGTATAAATATATGCATATATGTGTATAAATATATACATGTTTACATAAATATATATGTATATAAATATATATAATGCATGTAATCTCACTGCCATAATGCTGGCCACATTACTGGTATCCATAGCCATGAGCAGCATGAGGTGTCAGTAGTCATCAACACCATCGGCAACGCAGTTAATGACGCCGCTGTTAGCTGCTGAAACTACACACATCTACATACATATATACAGACGAAGACATTTCTAGTAGTGCCAGCTGTGAAACGAGTGGTATAAAAAATAGTGCTTGGACTTGTAAATGGCTGACTTACTCACCTACTGATTTGCTTATGCCTCAATTTACAACAACAAAAACAAAGCAACAAAAAACGTAAATTACTAAAACAATATAACAAAAAATATAAATTACAAAAACAAAAATGTGCGCTTCTTAAGCAACAACAAACTGAAAACATAACTCACTTTGCTAATATTTCTAAGAAATAAAACTTTCAGTGTGCTTGTGGGCATGGTATGTATGTATGTATATAACAAAGGTGAGTTAGAGTTGCTTTTGTGTGCGTGCGGTCATTAAGCGAAAGTGGTACCATCGCAACATTGCTGTTGGCTACAGGCAAATTGTTGTTGTTTGAGATAACTAAATATATGTGTATAAGCAAAACGGCTAGCAGACAACAAAATACTTGTACAACAAAAAGTATAAAAATAAATATCGTTTGCTTAGGTAAAACAGCTGCAGCAATACGCAATAATAATATATCAGTCCAGTAAAAACAAAAGCAACACACAACAAATACAAATAAAAAAACCTTAAAATATACATAAACTTAACAATTACAATAATAATAATGGTACGATATGCATAACAAAGAAAAACAAAACAAAAAGCAAAAAAATCTAACAATAAAATAACCGTTTTTCACATAAAAATTTGAATATTATTGCTTGATCATTATAAAGAATATGTTGTTATGTATTAGTGTGTGTGTGCTTCTAAATATCTAGACTTAGATTTTGCTATTAAAGCAGCGAAGTAGATGTGTCGGAAACGAAAAACTTATGTAGCCCTTTGCCAGCAATATCAGTTGCTAAATGTTGTTATTGTTGTATGAATGCTTAGTAATAGCAAAACGAGCAGTCGGTCAGCCATAAACTCAACAGTTCACTGGCTAGTCATTCAAAAACTGTATCGAAGCAGTCGGTTTCTTCTTTACAAATGTTTAGAGTGAAGAATCTAAGAATCTATGTCAACCGTTATCTCTTTTTGTGTTGAAGATTTTTGTGGGATTTTCTCTAATTTTTTTTTCTCCTTGTAAAAACAGTATTCAATCGCTCTTAGAAAGCAAAGCAACTAAACTTTTAGATTTTAAAATATGTTGCTTACGTTACTTTTGTAATTTTTATATAAATTTTTAGTCCAAATCAGTGCTGATATTTATTGAATAGCGATTCAAAAGCGTAAACTTTCATTTGTTAATAGCAAAAATTTTAAATATATTCTTCACGAAAAATTAGTAGTGAGAGTCTGTGATACTCCATGAAAGTAGCAATATAAACAAATTGATTGTAAAAAAGTTCGAAGCTTTGAAAAAAAACTCTATATCTTAACACTCTTCCCTATATCCCTTATTCATAAAGTATTAACTTACTTATTTTTGATATTTTAATTTTTATACTTTCAGGCTGATCTAATACATGAATTTCGACCGAGATCGATGGATGGTGTCATTGACTCATCTTCGGGCTCATTAAATGGTGATACCACCGGTTCAAGTCCAGATAGTGCGAGTCATTTACAAAATCAGCAGGTAAGTCTCAAAAAATATACAACTACTTAGTTTGTTTCAAAAATTTTGTAAGTAGAGTTTATCGGCGCGTCTACAGAACTGAACCTGAACCTCTAGTAAATTGTAGATAACTTCTAAACTAAAAAGAAAATACAACAAAATTTGCTAAGAAAATCTTAGAAGAAACATTTTTGCATCGTAATCTTCAAAATTAGAATGTAAATCTACAAATAAATTTCTATAAATATGTTCCACGAACTCTTAGAACAACTTGTTCAATCCAAGCGCTTTATGCCTAGCAATGCATCTGTGCTAATAATAATGACGAGCTCTCTGACCAAATACATCATTCCGTTAACTTGACTGCTTCTTTGTGCAATTGCACGGCAATCAAGCAGTAGTTGCTCTGATGTCCCCGCCAACAGCATTTTGTAGGCCAGATTCCTCTATTGTGAATGTGACACATAAATCTACATTAGCAACTATACGACTTTACAAGTTGCCTTAGCTTAGCTTTGGGTAAGATTGGGTTAAGCTGTCGGAATCTTTTCAAGTTGTATCCCCCAGCAAAAGCTTCGCGGGCTGAAGTTCAGACATTTACCGGCTGTAACTATGCTTTTATTTTTTTCTACGATGGTGTGTGAACCTACTGCAAAGAAAAACTCTGGTCCTATCAGCATGGTGGCCGCTAAATTACTAGCCATTAGCCTCGCAACCACCATATTATTAAGCTTTTCTATGCACTCCAGTACCATTGCTGATTTTATAGAATGGAATTGGCTGGAGTCTATCATTCAACTAACATTTAGATGTCCGGGATATTTCCTTACTAGCATAATATGTGCAGAGTTTACGACTGGACTCTTACACATATTCGGACACAAATGTTGGTTTTGTTCCAACAAATTAATATGTGACATCTCAAGGCTTGAATATATTATTATATATTCAACTTAACTTTCTTCTGAAATTCAAAAAACTAATTATAACAATTTTTGGAAATCTTTTGATTTAGTTTAGCGATCTATTCCTTTCCAACCAAAGTGACAAGCAAAAATTACTACCGCAAAGAGCTGTCTAAATTAACCAAAATATAGATTAGTATCCGTCGTATTTCTAGAAAATTCATAAATTTTATGTAGTAGAATCAGATAATATAATATATAATATCTTAGTCCGCTCACCTCTCCTCAGCCTGTATTGATCCGGCAATGTTCTACTCATTACTAAATATTTACTATTATTTTTCCAGGACGCTGAAGCGCGACGCGTACATCGAGGTCATGTACTCACCGAATTACTAGAAACAGAACGGATTTATGTAAATGAAATGGCCTCTATTCTAAAGGTATGTTATTAAATTGTACTTAGATATTTACAGTGGTATTGTAATTACCGTTCAATTTCGTTATTAAAACTAATTAAATTAATATGATGATAATAGGTGGTGTAGTAATTGAATAACTATACCGATGCTGGAAATGTTTCTATATTGATAGCATTTCCCTATATCTATTATCTGTAAGAAAAAAATATATATAGAATAGCTCTTTATGCTTAATTGATCATGCAAATAATCCATATTTATAATCGACCTGCACTCCCAGCTGTTTCAGTAATAACTTAACATATCTCTGCTAAATTATTAGGGTCTGCAAAGAAGAAGAATGGTCGTAGTACCCAATCTTAATTTTAATTTTTGCTTTTTAGTCAGGTTATGTCCACTTCTAAATAAAACAAAATGGTATCTGAGAAAATATCTATTGAAATGTGACAGTATATACAAAGATCCAAACCGACCTTAAATTTAGAATAAATTTAATATAATTGTTGAGCAAACTAAACAAAATAACGTACTTGATGAAAGTTTGGAGTATTTTCTAGAATAACAAGATTTGTTATGTATTTCGATAAATTAAAAGGAAGCACTTGTCAACGTTTAGATACTTTTGGACTGCCTAAACCAAAGGATTCTAAAAATGAAATCGACCATAATTCTATTGTAGCACCATCAGCAATGATTTAATAGCTATACCACGTATCTCGTTTTTATATAAGAAAACGAACTTGAAGAGGCTCATAACCGATTGTGGCGGTTAGCATAACAAACAAGGACCATGATCATGATCTTGATCAACCATGACCATATCGCATGCAATTATTTAGTCAATATTTATGGCCATAATGCAAGTTGGTCAGCAAGCGATCGGCCAAAAACATTACTGCAGATGGGCGGAAAAAGAACAAAATGTAACAGTAAAACTTATAAAAACGTGGCAAAAGCACATTTAAAAATATTAAGTCAAAGTATTTTTCTCGCCGACTTAATTGGCTTTGTCTGCAGTTAACAGTTTTGCCACAGTTGAATGCCTTCGTGTAATTAGTGCATTAAATATGAGCATAATTTTCCGTTGCCACCGCAGGAAGCTAAAGTAGAATTCATTTGAGATAAAATTAAATGCAAAGACATTGAGATCTAAGGCATTTGATGAGTCATATATTTTATTTCACATTTAACTACGCGCCGAACAGTCGAACCGAGTCGGAAGTTTCTAGGTTCTAAATATTTATAGAGTTTTGCTTAGTTTGTTTGATAAATATAGTGCGCCTTGCAAAAATATGCGTTACGGCGGTTACGATCTACGTGCAAATCAAATAAATCGCCTCATCGCACGGTCCTTACGGCTGAAGAAAGTACAAAATACTGCCTGCAATATAGTCGGGCGCTTCAATTTGAAAATCAGAGATTCATTAAAGATTTTACAGCGCCAACGAACGCATTCGAACTTCTGCGAATCACCGGTATCCTTTCGCGGTTCACTCTTCGAACAACACGCAGTGTAGGCAGTTATCGTGCAACGCCCACAACTAGCACCTACAGCATAAGTTACAAGCCCACTGAACCGCAGACAAATCGTTATCGTTACGAACGTTCAACAACAGACGAGAGTCACTCGATAGGCAATAACTCACCACAGAATTATATATTCGGACGAATTTATGTAATTCTCAAGCACAATCTGCTAAACGGTAAATCTACAATCAAAATCATAAACACCTTCAAAGAGCTCGAAGCACAACAGAGCTTGAGCGATAGCGCGATCGTTTCGAATAGTTTACAACGTTTGAAGGACGATCGTAAGACGATATTTAAAGAGTCATCGAACTCTCGAGTTGCGACGAATCACTCGAATATCGTCTAGTCAAAGATTACCTGAGTACAACACATACTCGGAAATCGAGAACGACCAGAGTTCAAGGAATATTTACAACGTAAAACTACAACGACATACTGGATTATCTAGATGAGGCACAGTCAGGAGTCTCACGTCGATCTCGTCGTCGGTAGCACGCGCTCAGTCGGCGTTGAGTAAGCATACTTGAGCCGCACCAAATTATTAGCCACACCCAAGTCATTACATTTCACCGGCAGTGATATGGCAATTCAAGGAAAACTTTGTCAATCATGTCGCACAAGTGTGAACGCATGAAGCGCTTAAATGGTCGACGTCGCGTGCGCCAACCACCAACACCACAACATCGTGTAATCAGACAAACGGAAGTGCTGAAAAGCAAGGAACTGCAAAGAGAGTTAGTACGCAATTTGGCGAACCGAACTTTTCGCAAATTCCTACAAAGAGACTTTGAAATTTGTCAAGAATTCTTCGCAGAGAGTGTGCAAAGAAAGTCGGGATTCAAACTACAAAATACAAGATGAACACAAAGTTCGATCAAACGAATTACGAGCGCGTATTGCGTGAATTCATCGGTGCGCAAGGATTTACGAATGTTGACGAATATGTTGAGGCGAATCGGACTTTTTAGCGCCGAATTCGATCGAATAGTTAAGGATGAAAATTATGATTCGGAAGTGAAAGAAATACGGTAAAAAGAAATATAAATGTAGTAATTAGAAACTTTATTAACTACATATTTTAGATTTTATATTTAGAAAATTTAGTTCATAAAATTGAAATATCTTTATGCTTATTATTTTCTTAATTTATATAGTATATCTTCTCCTTTATTTTTAGGGTTATCGTGATCAAATGCTATCTGAAGAAATGATGTCTTGTACCCGCTAGCCTGCAAGGCAAAGAGGATATTGTTTTGGCAATTTACACGAATTATATACGTTTCATAATGAGATATTCCTTAGGACTGGAAAATTGTATATCTACAACGAGTTGGTGGCGCTGTGTTTTGTTCAGCGGGTAAGTAAAAGGCTTTGAAAATTATATGTAACTCTGAGAAACTGGACGTTCATTTTGTAGAACCAAATTCACTGTCGAAATGTGAAAGGAAGACACTAATAAAGGACAAATAACTTAGCTAACTTAAGTTTCGATTTCGCCAATCGAAAGTTTTGTCTTATGGTGGAAGCAATTTTTATTTAAGAATTCGAATCTGCAAATTAGTGCTTTTTAGGACACAGTTCTTAGAAAAACTACAAGGATTGATTTAATAGGGAGAAGAGAAAATACGCGATAATGTACAGTTTTCTTCGATAAATGGAAACGCAACCTGTAGTGCTTAAGATCCTGGCATTGTGACAGCAATCAGAGTAATTTTGGTTACATCGATTCCGTTTTGATACTTTTGATGTCAAAGATGTACACGCTCTGGAAGACCAATTATCGAAAATATCGAAATAAAATAATGGCAATGTCGAGTTCAACCACCGATTTCACACAAGCAAAGACTGACTACAACAACAAGCTGATTTATGGGCACCACACGAGTTAACGCAAAACACCACTGAATCGCAGGAAAATCGAATTCTGAAGCAGAGTTTTGGTGATAAGAGGACAACGTCACAGAAAGGTCATGACCGAAACGCGGTGAGCTGATACAAACGGTGACCGCAAAATTTTGACGGTTTGAAGGTTTTGCTTTAATTTGGTTTCTACTATGAACTGCTCTCCTACGACTAAACTATCAATAAGGACCTATACTGTCAAAACTTGATCCGTCTGAAGGAAGCGATCGCCCAAAGCGCCATTTTGGACAAGGAGAGGAATTGTGTTTAATCAGGAAAACGCCAAGTTATCACATCAATAGGGACTCCCAGAAGCCTCGCGACTTGGTTAGATATTATCTTATTGGACGGCACCAAGTGATTACTACCTGTTCTTATTCTATGTTCAATGGCGAATAATTTGCTGAGAAAAATTCTACTCAAAAGAAGCTTGTAAAATCAAATATCCAGTTCTTTGCCTATAGAGTCGAGAATGGCATTCAGTTATCGAACAAGACGGTGCATATTTGACCTAAATCGGAACTTTCTAACTAAATATGTTGAATAATACCTTTAATTAATGCAAAATAATAGATTTATTTTATTACTACTTTTTACATAATTACAGGATTATATTAGCAGTAGTGTTCGACTTTGTAGGTGAAATAATCAAAGCACTTAATTTAGTTCAAGATCTGCTGAAACTGAAGTTTCTAACAGAGCTGAAATTTTCATCCTAAGCTACTAAGAAGTTATTATTTGTTCGCTGCTTGTCTTTTATTTATTGGTATTTCTGCATATCGTTTGATCTCCTCGTCTCTATTTACAGCGTGACACCTTCTATCGTTTGTACTCTTCTACTGCCAAAATATCCGCGCCCGATCGATTGCGCGAAACGCCTCGTTGATACATCTCTTCCTGCAGGAATGTAAGCGTTTGGGACACAAACTGCCATTGGGCGCTTATCTGTTGAAGCCCGTGCAGCGTATTACCACAAATTACTGCTCGAGAATTTGCTCAGCTCCAGCGATAGCGGCAGCTGTACCAAAGAATTGCAAAAGCTTTAGATTGTATGTTGATTGTGTTGCGTTGTGTGAACGACTCGATGCATCAAGTGGCTATAACGGGATTCCTCGTAAATTGCATAACTGTTTATATTTAGGCGGAGTAACAATTTTGGTTGTTTTTAATAATTAATTTTACAGAGCAATCTTTCGCAACAAGGCGAACTGCTGCTGCAGGATCCCTTCCAAGTGTGGACTGAGTCGAAAAAGGATTTGCGACTACGCAAGAAACCCAACAACGACACATATTCTCTATCAAAATCGATGATATTTTGTAAGAAAACCTCAAACCCGGCCACAATAAGAGCACTTATCAGTTCAAGCATCAACTAAAGGTACACAAAGAATTCAAAATTGAGTGCTTAACTTTGATTGAGTCTTTATTTATTATTCTATCTCACACACCTACTAATATCTCTTTGCGCTCTCTCCTCGCAGATGTCACAAATCGCCTCACGAATCGGTGCGCGGCGACTCAACTCGCTTCGAAGTCTGGTTACAAGGACGCCATACACACGATACAAGCACCAGGCGAAGAGGTTAAAATGTGGGTCACAGAAATCAAACGTCTGCTACTCAACCAGCTGGAAGAGCTGAAGGGTGAGAAAATCAAACAGTATAGCATGAATCATCATGGCCTCAGACAGACACACGTCAGGATACGCCCAACATATTGCTGGGCATGCGCAACGCGCCGTGAGCTGTGATGCATCTTCGGAATCTTCGAATCGCAATTCTAACTGCAGCAGTAGCGGTGATGATGCTCATCCGCACGGCATCCGCAACTGAGCACAACAACGGGCAATGGACACGCGCATGCGCATGGTAATGGTGGTAGCGGTGCGGATAACAACAGGAGGCATGCGGCTGGAGCTCGGACTACTCGAATAGTGAGGATGAAATGTCAATAATCGAGGATAATAGGCGCCGGTAAGTTAGCATGTTCCGTTATGCGCGGGGGACAACATAGGTGCGCAACTTATGTTTGACATTTTTGCTATTTCAATACATATTTACTACTGAAGACAATTTAAATACTTGCAAATACATTTTGGAAGGAGCGAAGTTATTTTCAGTTCATTTTTATTTATTTTAATCATCAAATTTCTATTTTTAAGCTCTTTTTATCTTATTGTCTTATTTGTTGGTATATTTTGGTTTCGGTTTTCATGTAAAATTTGTTATTTATTTTAAATTTACTTTTAGATTAACTTTTATATATAAATTGTTTGATTTCGTATTATTTATCCGCTTTACTTCTGTAATTTTTGTAATTTGTTTCCGTTTTTAATTTTCTTCTCGCTTTCTGTTCGTTTTATTATTTTTTGCATATTCATCCATCATGTTGCATAGTTTCTTCTACTATATGTTTTATATTATTTGTCTTATTTAATTTTTTGGTCTCTTTTTACTTTCATGCACAAAACACTTTGTCTTAAAATATTCAATATACCCACAACTGCATAAAATGCCACCTGTACAAATGAACATAAAAATGGTGTCGTGTAATTTGTAAAAATGTCTATACAAATGTTTGTATATAAAACTAATTTAAAACAATAAATGAAAATTTAATGCACTCTGTAAAAATATATATATAATAATATATCCAAAACTATGAAAAATAAAATATATAATAATAAATTAAAAATATATAATATAAATATATAATAATTAAAATAAATATAAAATGCACATGGATTTTAAAATATAAAATAAAATTTATTTAACAATTTAAATAATATTAATTATGCGAAAAATTTTAAATTCAAAAATTAAAAATTAAAACTTAATCACTTATTTATCATTATTTATCGAATATTTTCATTTATAAAATTATGATATCAAAAATGCTGAAAATACTTCAAATAAAATTAATTTACATAATTTTATTTATTAAAATTATTTTTATTGAGAAAAAAATAATATTTTAAACTAACCATTATATATGTACATATAACATAAATATCTCATTTTCCAAATAAAATATTGTGCTCATACATACATATATTAAAATATAAACAATTAAACCGCATTATAATAAAAAAATTGTAATAATAAATAAATAAAATTGGGAATAATAAAAAATAAATATACAACAAAAAATATTAACAAATTTTATTTCGAAATTGATATTTTTTAATTTCTACAAATAAAAAAATATAATAATAAATAAATAAATTTTTGGAAAAAAAAATTTTTTAATAAATTTTTTAATAAATTTTTTTTGCAAATAAAATTAAAAATAAAATGTATACAAAAAATAATAAAATAAAATTATAACAAATAATTACTGAAAATATAAAATAAATATAAACAAAATTTAATAAATATTAAAATAAAAATTCAAAATTCAAAATTACACTTGAAATTAAAACTAAATTCCTTAACAAAATATAATAATTACAATAAAAAAATTAATTGCATGATAAAATACTAAAATGCAAAAATAACTAAAATTTTAAAAACCTAAAATTATTTAATAAATTAAAAAAAAAACTATAAAAATGGCAAACTATAAAAATTGTAAACTATAAAAATTGCGAATTGAAAATCCCACAGCGTTTTATGAATTTGCTGGCTCAGTGGACCTACAATGCCGATGGTAATGGTGGTGGCTCTTATCCGCGTAGCAGTAAGTCAAATTCTAAATTCTATGTCTCCGTTGAGCATTGAGCAAACATGGTTCAAGAGAAGAGAGAAAATATCGTAAAACTACAAAATGGATGACACACCAACCAATTACCAAAACCAAAACGAAAAAAAGTATGAAAAACCAAAAAACTAAAATGTAAACAAATAATTGCTAAAAGTAACGCAGTGAATTAATAGTAAAAATTGTAAATCAAAACCGTTAAATTTATAGTACAAAATAATAGTTAGTTCTATGAGTGTAAATAAAATATAGTGTTTTCAATAACAGCAGCGCTTGACAAAAATAAAGCGAAGATATGTCAGCTCAAAGAGGACATAATTTAGTGCCTTTAACAAATTTAAGGAAAATAAGTATATCAAAAACAGCATAGTGTTGTTGCATAGTGTTCTTATGTAGTAAAAAAACAAGTAAAGTGTAAAGAAAGTAAAAATAGAAATGCATTATATAAAAGTGACTTCATTATATATAAAATCACCCGCAAACTATATAAAAGTGCACGCATTAAAAACCCGTTTAGAATCAATAAAAATTGCGTTAAAAATTTTATTTCCCCTCATTTCTGAAAGCTCAAATTGCATACCGTTTCACTGTTTACAAAAAAAGTTCAATTCAATACAAACATCTCTCTCCCACTCACACAATTCACTCACTTCCTTTATCTATTTGCGCTCTTCAACATTTTCTCACTCAAACGCACTGCTTGTACAAATTCCGAAACTCATACGTGTCAACATAATTCCTCTCTTTCACGCACGTGTGTGTATGTATTACAAATATCGCTCACTCGCTTCATATATGTACATATGTATGTCTGTATGTATGTGTGCTCTCATATAGAACTGTTCGTTGTACAAGCGTCGCCTATGTGAAGGCCATATTTGATATATTTTTCTGGCAGTATGGATCAATTTGATGATGGTATGTAGCATTTATTTTCCTTAAACTATATACGCATATAAATACTGTCATATATGGAATTTAATATAATACTTATTAAAAGCGTGAAAACACTAATAATTACAAATATACTCATATATTTATGCATATATATTAATAATAAGTTATATATTACATAAAGATATATTTATATATTATATTAATCTTACTATACTAATACTTTCTATATAACTGGTGCTGGTGTTACTATATTTATATACTAAGTTATATAAGCAATTTATATAATTTTTATATTATACTTATAGTATAATGATCCATATTTATATACATATGCCATTTAAATATTAACGATTGATCAAACATTTATTAAACCACCAGCCATAGTCTAATTTAACAATCTTAATCGCATCAGCCTTCGCGTATTGAATCTGAGTGTCCTATAGCTGTATAATCGGTATGGCAATAAATTTACTGTTCTAAAATTATACAATTAATCTATTTTGGTAAATTGCATGCCATAATTTAAAATAATGCATTAATAATTGTATTTAACGTTACTTGAACCATAACGCTGTGTATTTCAAATTCTGAATTTCAATTTCTATTGTTTTAAGAATTTATATAAGATTTGTTACGCGCTATTTTACGTATAATTTTATCAATTGAAATTTATAATCTTAAATTGTATAAAAGGATTAGTAGAAATGCTTGTGTCGTTACAAGAAGCGTTTCTGCAACAAGATATATCAATATTTATATATATACATATGTGAACGCTATGTAAACTAACATGAAAATGGCGCTGGCAATGGTATATTCTGCGCGACATCAAAGCTGTATATAATATTATGACTTTGAGCAGGGTGCATTAAATTTTCCGCGAAGTTTTTAGCACCCGAAAGGAAACTTCGAAGACCCTATAAATATATGCAAGTATGTAACATATATACAAATGATTGGCGTGACGAGCTGAGTCGTTTTAAAAAGATCCGTTTCTAATTTTTTAAGTTATTGTCGGAATCGCCGATATCGGTCCACTATAGCATATTACTGTCATACAAACTGACCGTTCAAAATCAAGATATGCTCTTTTATGTTATAAGGAAATGTGAAGGATATTATAGCTTCGATGCAGCCAACGTTAAAGTTTTTTTTGCTTGAGTACACAGAATGCCCCGGGTGTTCAAAATTTTTAAATTTCTAATTGCAAGATTTCTAAAAAAAATCAAATTTTAAATAACCACCACTCGCTGGTATTTTATTAAAATATTTTCGAAAATTTATTCATAAAGGATTTGCGATAAATCATATACACATACTCTACTTTATCGTTTCTTAAAATATGTACACAAAGATTTTTTTTCGAAACAACAGTACTTAGGCCTAATGTTTTGTTTCTACCATAACGCTATTTAAGGCGGACAGTGCGTATGCGTAACACTTATCAACTTCGTATGAAAGAAAAAAAATCAGAATCAAAATGAAGTCGCTAAAAATAAATAGATAATTAAAAATAATATATATATACATATATATTTATTATTATAAAATTTTTATATGGTTTTTCATAATTTTTAAATTTTTTTCTTTATTGTTGGTGTTAAAGAATTACAATTTCAACGTAATATTCACAATTTTTTGAAATATTTTCTGCTAAATGGCCATATGTCGACTTAAAAATTATAATTAAATGTATGTTTGAATTTTATATACTATTTCAACGATGTTTCATAAAAGTTTTTGAAAAATAATTTTTATTAAAAATTAATTGATTTAAATTGCTGATACGAAGAAATCGTTGAACAAAGAGTTCGAAAACATAATTAATATAAAAAAATTGTTAGTTTAGATTTTTTTTTTTGTTAACCGCTGCTTACGACGAATTTTTTAAGTTTTTTTTTTTTAATAATTTAACAATTTCGGTTTTATTTTTCGTATTTTTCATATCTAATCAGCGTATAAAATTATAAAAATAGCAATATTTTAAGAGAAATAATTTTAAAAATTTATAAAAAAAAAAATTGTTTACATCAAAAATCATATTCGCCATTTTCAAATACACATACAAATATCAAGCAATATGATAATTTATATTATAACGGTATGTATGTGTGAATATATTATTAGAACATGCACAATTTAGAACAGTGTTTTTAGCGAGACGAAGCACTGCTGCAAATGCACCAACAACAAAATAAAATTTAATACCTTAATAAATCATTCACCATTCACCAACCCAAATAATTTTGCAGTACATACACATATATATATTTTATGCATACGCACCCACCCACAAGCACACACATAACAGCACAAATCCTCACAACCATGCACAGAAGTCAAGCTTTCACGCATACACCCACATATACATACATTAACATGCAAATCCTCGAGTGCATAACTTTTTGCTTATAGATTTTGTTTAATTTCAATTGAATTTCGTTGATTTTCGTTAACTTTGATTTGTACGAAAATATAAAATAATGCAAATTAAACAATATTAATTGTTATAATAAACAAAAATGCTTAAATAATTAATAAGTTGTGTTGAAATTTAATTTTTGCGCTTATAACTAATGTTTATGTAATCAATATGCTATAATTAATTTTATATTATATATGTATGTATGTATAAAATCGTATTTGCCTCAGCGGCGTTCGTTGCTCATTTTGTTTAGTTCTTCATAGTTTTTGCATTTCGCGTTTGCCTTGCGAACACCATGCAATCTTAAATTAGTGCAAAGCATTGCCAGCGCCATTTTTCATGTTGATTTACATAGCGTTTCACATATGTATGTATATATAAATATTAAATGCTGTCTTGTTGCAGAAACGCTTCTTGTTAACGACACAAAAGCATTTCTTACAATCCTTTTGCTACAATTTAAAATTATAAATTTCAATTGATAAAAATTATACGTAAAATAGCGCGTGGCGCAATCTTATGCTAAATTTCACCAAAAACAATAGAAATTCGAAATTCGAAATTTGAAAATGCAGCGTTGCTTAGTTTAAGTAGCGTTAAAGTACAATTATTGATAGCATTATTTTTAAATTGTGGCATGCAATTTTGTAAAATAGTTAATTGTATAATTTTAGGGCAGTAAATTTGTTGCCCTTGCCGATTATACGGCTATGGGACACTCGGAGGTCTCAATGCGCGAAGGTGATGCGATTGAATTGTTGAAGGTGGGCTGTGCCGGCTGGTGGTTTGTGCGTGTTTTAGGTAATTCAATTGTATTTAAATGGCATATGTATATAAATATATGTGGATCAGTATGCTATAAGTATATAGTATAAAAATTATGTAAATTTGTATATGCTTAGTATATATGTAAATATAATGTACCAAAGCACCAGTTATATAGAAAGTATTAGTATGAGTAGTTAATATATTATATATAAATATATATTTATGTATTAATATATAACTTATTATTAATATATATGCATAAATATATGAGTATATATTTGTTGTGGTGTTGGTGTTTCTACGCTTTTTTAATAGTATTATATTAAATTTCATATATGACGATATTTTATATACGCGTATATAGTTTAAGGAAAAATAAATGCTTTACATACCATCTCATCAAATTTGATCCGTACTGCCGAAAAAAAATATCCAAATATGTGGCCTTCACATAGGCTATCAAACTCTTCTGCAACATTTTCAACGATTCCGTTGCCGTCGTGCCATTGGAAACCCAAAATTTCAAGCGAAGTGCAATCGTAGTTAAATTTTTTTCCATGGTAATAATCGCCAGACATACTTTTCGCATCGTAGAAAAGTTTGTATTAATCCAGGAAAAAAATTGCGCGCAGTTTAGATGGACCAGTTCGGGTCAAATTTGATCAAATGTATGCAAATATCCTGAGAACTACTAATTTTAGCCACAAATGTTGATCTATAATCAGTAAAGTAATTAATTACTACTAGAATGAGTTTATTTGTGCTACTCAGTCCTTAAAACGTCCACATTCAAAAGTAGTTGCGATATATTAGCAAAAGTAGCTATGCGTTTGTTGCACAATAATGTTGCTAGATCAATTCTAAATCATAAGTGTGGCAACAAAGCTGACTACCTTCATCAAACGCAAATTTTTCTATTTCAATTTTGAGCGTTCGCTTCTCATACACAAATGTTGCAAACGCAGTTTACAAATTCCATTACTAAAATTTCAAGCAACAATGTTGCTACAAGAATATTGCTGAATACCTATTACTTGCTAAAATGTTGCGAAGCTTCTTATTTGTAAATAATGGTTACAAAAATGTTACCAAACCAATGACAACAGAATATTTAACTAATGTTGGCAAAAGCTAATATGAATTTTGTATACATGAGCTTGTGATACAAATAATACCTAGAAATGTCGCTAGGTGCATATCTTTACTTCAAGTGTTGCTCAGCCATGTTGCCAAGAAATTTTTAAAATAAAATAATAATGGAGCTAATTGCTATAAATTTGTTGTTCAAACGTTTTAATTTTGATATTTGTCATATTAATGTAAATGTTGCGCAACAAAGCCTAGCAACATATATTAGTTTAGCAACATGTTGACAGCGATTTTTCATGTAATGCAAATTTGTTGCAGTATTAAATTTTAAAAGCTTGTTTACCATAAGACAATATCGGTCTTCCATTATCTCACTTTTAATCTCACCTTAATAAACATTAATGTGTGGTCGATAATTGAAAAAAAAACTTGATATGAGCGAATGTGCGATATAAATAAATGTATTGGCGGATTTATTATTTGATAATGGCACTAAAGATTAGGTTTTTTAGAGCTAGTTTGCCACCTGCTGTAATAGCTATAATGCCAGAAATTAGTGAAAATTTAAAAAAATGTTTTTGTAACAAAATTATTTTTTTTTATGAATTGTGAAATTTTTTTTAGCTATATACGCATATATAAAAAGAAATAATTTATTTAGATATACAATGATGTAATTTCATTAAAAATGAAATTTAGCTTGATAACATCAGCGTCCTTTATAGTATTTACCATAAAAAATAATATATATTATAAAATTATATAAAATAAAATTATATAAAATCTAATTTTTCACTAAATTTTTTTTTCTTCAACAAATTTTACATTCCCACAGAAACCAATGCAGAAGGTTGGACTCCAGCGGCATATTTGGAACCGCTCAATCGAAAATCTTCTCGAAGCTCGAGCCGCAATCAGGAGCGAATAAATTTAACTAAATGCGCTGAATAAATTAGCAAACAACAAAAATTCATTAAGCGGAAATTAGTACAAGCGGAAAGCGGAAATAACGGGCCTTTTGGAAATTTTTGCAGCATCTTAGAATTGAAGTCGCATACATATTTATACATATACATACATACATAAGTATTTAACATTTAAGAAAGCCAACCTAAACAGGAATCCAATTGATATTAATGAAATTAACGGAACAATTCAAATCAATTTACATGCAAATTACACTTTTGAAGAAATCTTTTTGATTTATGTTCATAAATACCTTTGCTAGTGCATACAATTGTATTGAAGTCAAAAATATATACTATATACAATATTGAAGCTCTACATTTAATATATAGTAGCGTATGCAGAAGAAATACGGATGCCTACAAAAATATGAATTTCAAATTTGCTTGAAAATTGAAAGAGGAAGTGAAAAAACTAAAACTGTTTGCATACAAAAATATTGAAGAAATTGTATTTTCAGTATCTTGTATTTAATTAATTTTTTTATTTTTATTTTTATTTCTTAGTAATTATTGTTTAATTTTTCTAATTTTCTTTTTATTAAAACATTAAATTTTAAAAGTTTTTTTTTAAAAAAAAACAAATTGTAAAAAAGTTTTGAAATTTTTTAAAGTTTATTTAATTTTTTTTTTTGAAACTCAAATTTTTTTATTTTTTTGACATATTAACTTGTATTAAATTATTTTTAAATGTATTTTTGAATTTAATGTTTATTATTTTAATTAATATTTAACATTGGTTTTTATTTTTATAATTTATCGCCTAATGAAGTTAATTCTTGTAATATCAATAATTTATTTTTAATTACCTTTGCATATTTCAATTAACATATCATTGAAATAATTTATACTAATATTAAAAGTACAAAGATTGTAAAAATATATAGTTTTAATAATATGCAAGGAAAGTGAAATAAAAAAAAATAAAATATATATATAAATCTAAATTAAGTACAGTTGTATATACAATTTGCTTGAATTTCTTGGAAGGCCTAACAAACTTGTTATCAAAATATTTATATAAGCAACTAATTGCTAAATTCTAAGCATATTTATTCACAAAACTAACGTTATATAATACATAAACACTTAGTTACTAACAAGTAAAACTGAAAACACCAAGAAAATATAAAAAAACAATTTAACTTAAAATAAAAAAATTTAAATCAAAAAACTGAAATTTTAATAAAAAAAACTGAAATTAAAATTAAAAGATTTAAACTAAAAAAAAAAAATTTAATTAAAAAAACTTTAAAAAAAATTAAAAATTAAATAATATACAAATAAAATATATACATATTTATGCAGATTAGTTCAAATCGCTAAGTATTTTTGTACAATTATTATAAAGCAAAAATGTAGTAGCTGAAAGTGCGCTTCTTTTGAGTTTTTAGTTGTGTGTACATATGGATATTTATAATTTTCATTAACGTACTTACTTGTAATTAGCACACAAACAGCATTAGTTGCATATATTTATGTATATAGGCATGCAAGCATACATATATATATGTATGTATATGAGGGCTTACTGTATGCATACATAACCCTAAAAATAGTATGGATGGGTTAAAGTATAAGTTTTTTTTATTTATAAGTAGTAAAAAAATAAAAAATTGTGTTGGTGTAACAAGACACAAACAAACATTTATAAAAAAAAATATTAAAAAATAAAATAACTTATTATTTATAGTCAATAAATATGTATAAAAATACTAGTAAACGTATCGACAGGCATATATACATAATATAGCTAAAATGCTAATATAATATATAAAATAATAAGTATAATTAACTTATTGTAAAAACTTTGAAAAATTTATCGAATTAAGTATGCAAAAATACCTGCTTAAATATAAATATTTCTAAAGTTAATATTAGCTATTATAATATATATAAAATATCAAAAACGAAAAGCGTCTAAAATAAAATATGTTCGAAATCCAAATTCGCTGTTGTTTTATTCAAAATAAAAAGCACACGCACAACTAAAAATTCGTAAATTAAAAACTAAACGAATTTTATTTGAAAAATTAATTTTTTTAATTTTTGTCATAGTTTTCACACCCTGAACAAGGTACATATATTAAGTTTATTAGGAAATTGGAAACACTTATAAGGAAACGTCGAAGAGCCTATAAATATCTAAATATATCTATATGATCAGCGTGACGAGCTGAGCTGATTTAGCCATATTCGTATATCCGTCAATTTTTGAGATATCGCATATAGCATATAGCTGACATTCAAACTGAACGATCAAAATCAAAATATTGTGAGGAAACCTATTTTATCTGACAATATACATATCTTCCACAAATTTTGCTTGAATTTGCTTTTGGACAACAAGCAATACAATACTATATCCGAAAAAAATTTTAAGATCGGAACACTATAAAATATAGCTGAAATACCTACTGAACATTCAAAATCAAGTTTTCGTATGGAAAACTTTTTTATTTGACAAGATATTTTTTTTAAGAAATGGTGGTTTTTTTGTCCAAGACAATGCTACTATATCTGAATAAATTTTTTAGATTGAATGACTATGACATATATATACATTAGGGTGGGCCGAAAATCCGTTTTTTTTAGAATTTTCATTATTAATACTGAAAATATTTTTTTTTAACAAGAATTAAGTTTCAAGAAAAAAAAATATTTTCAAGAAAAAAAAATATTTTCAAAAAAAAAAAATATTTTCAAGAAAAAAAAAATTTCGGTGTTTTTTCTTACCCTATATCGATCGGAAATTTAGTTCTCTACAAAAAAGGTCCTATAGTGAAGTTACGTTAAGTTGATAGCTTCTGAGATAATTGCGATTTTCCTCTAAAAAATGCGGTATTAATTTTTCTAGATGAAAAATGTATCTGATCTTATTATTTTCGTAGGGAATTCTATTTTATACTGCATAAATGTAAAAACAATTTTTCTAGAGTTGATTGTTACTGAAATAACGACCATTTCGCTATAAGGTAAGAAAAAAATTTTCCAAAAACTTTTAACTTTAACTGGATTTGGCAAGCCTGAGATGTCGACCGTAAATTGTTTTTTCCTTGAAAATATTTTTTTTAACAAAGAAAAATATTTTCGGTATTAATAATGAAAATTCTAAAAAACGGATTTTTGGCCCACCCTAATATACATAGCTGCCATACAAACTGTGCTTCAGACAGATTTGGATCATAGCAAATTTAAGCACATACAGTGTTGTTGTAGTGACATAAAATACATATTTTTTTTTTTAGTAAAATGCTGTCGAATTGACAGTTCTGATACCAATTGAAAATCATTACAGTTTTACATCAGATTTGGAGAACTTACACTTTTTAAAATTTCAAAAACCACTTTCACCAATAATAGCAAACATTTTCAATCGTTTTTGTTTTTTCTATTTCATTTATTATGTAAATAATATTTATTTAATATACACTTTATTTATAGAAGTTTAAACTTTCAAGATATACAACACTTTCACTAGCTTTTGTAGTGTGTTCCATATATGGATTATATATGTATGTATTTTTTAAGTATTTGCTATATAGTTTTATACCTTTTACTTAATTTACAAGTTTTTATTAAAATTTACAAGAAAACAAATAAATGAAAAATAGAGCAATGCACAAATTTTTATGCGGAAATCGCAATACATAACGTCACGTGACTGCACACACACATCGAGAAGACTATAGACAGTTTTGCCAAAAAATTCAGTCACGTAAAAGTTTAAACGCTTTTTTCTAAATAAAAATAAGTGCATTCATTTAAGTAGTAATCAAGCGAAATTTGCAAATTGTAGCATATTTATATTTGGTCATCTATTATACAAGTGGCGCAAGCTTGTGCTTGAAGTAAAGTGAAAGTATAACGTCCAGCAAATACACGCAGCGAAGGATACATATAA